CCCCATCCTCCCAGCCAGCCCCGCTCCCCTCCCAGCCAGTCTCCCCCCTGCCCCATCTGAGATCAAGTGTGTCTGGTATATTTTTTAAGCCACCTGGTAACCCTATTCTGGGACTGCCCCATCCATGAGCTCCCTCTTTCCCACTGCTGTTTCAGGGGTTGGGAGGTCTGCAGCTGCATAGCCATGTGGTTTTCTCTTGTTTTCTGTGATTAGGGAGTGAGGGCAAAGTGCAGAGCTTGCTTCCTTCCTCTCATTGTCCAGGGGAGAGGCAGAGGAGGAATGCAGCTGACCCTCACTCCCTAGTCACATCAAAAAAACCCAAAACCAAACCAAACCACTGCAACTGGGTAAGTGTAGCTACAGCCCCCTCACCTCCTGAAATGGTGCCCTTGCCTTTCCATCCCTAAGTCCCGCTGCTCTGAGCCCCTCCTCATACTCCGCTGCCCTGAGCCTCTTGTACAATCCAACCCTGACTCCTGCATCCCTCTCCCCATCCACCTGTCCTAACTCCTGCATCTCCCCACACAACCCAACCCACTTCCCTGAGTCCTCTCTAGACTCTCCCCCCCCCCTTAAATCTCTTATGGGTACTGTGGTATTGCCAACACTACCCCCCCCTAAATTGTACTGTGGTATTGCCAACACTACCCCGCCCTAAAACCCCACCCCTCTATGATAGGACAGTGTTCGTAAGAAATTTAAGTTACTTTGACCCCTGTATAGGACTTCACACAGGCTCAGTCAGAACCTCCACGTTTGGAACTTGAGGTGCATATCTGTGGTGGTGTTCTATGCTGCTGCCTCTGGACAACTATATGTAGTCATGCTAGCCAGATTAAAGCTAATGTGGACATTCCTACCTGAGCTGCAGTCACGCCTTTGATTGCAGCTCAGAGCTATTCTGGGACTTGGTGACTCAGGCTAGATAGTAGTCCCAGAAAATTGTAGGTAATCATCTCATGATTTGTAGCAGATTTTGAGATCTGAGACTTCACACATTTATTTTACCTTCTGTATTTTTGCTTTGTCTCCTTGATTTCCTATCCTCTCGTGCTGTCTTCATGACTTCCCTTTCTTGACAAGTCTTACTTCAGGGAGATGAATCTGTTTCTGGAGCAGGCTGTGCCAGATTGTGCTGTTCTTTGTAGCTCCCATGTAATGGAAGGCTTTAAGGGGAGATTTCCTAAACTTCTCCTTCTTGACATTTTCAAAGAGTCAGAAATGAAGGCTGGGGAATATACCATGTTTGTCTTGGTTATTAGGCACCTCTTTACATCCAGGGTGTTTTCAGCTTTATGTCTGTGGGGTGGCAGGTGGTGTTACTGAAGAATCATAACAGATACCGTGACTCCCCACATACTCTCTGGACTTTTCTTCAGGCTCTGTGTAAGTGCAAAATTTGCCTCTTGTCACCAACAAAAGCTGGTCCAATAAAAGATACTACCTCAGACATCTTGTGTCTCTAATATCTTGGGACCAACATAGCTACAACACTGCAAACAAACTGTTTTATTGTATGTTGTATACTTGAGACCACCCAAAATGCACTAAAATAGGTAATTATCGCAGAGTATAATAGTCCTTTTTGTAAAATACTTGTTAAACTTTAGTACCATTTGCTTTTTTAAGGAACTTTCTCCTCAGCATGTAGTTTGTTCTAGGCTACATTTTCTCAGTGTAACCAGAGGAATAAAAGAGAGAATGCCACTAAAACTGAACTTTTCCTTCAGCACTGACTGTAGCTTAGTAGCATTAACAACTTGTTTCTGAAATACATATGATCAGGTTTTTATTCTTGAACTTTGCACAAAAGTTGTATTGACATTAAAGTAGGTTATGTACTGGAATAGGACATTTATATTCTGGTTTGACTTTTTTTTCTTTTTGAAATTATCTGCACAAAGTCATGTAAACATAAACTCTCCTATTTTTTACCCTAGCCTAACACTGAAAATAAATCACTAGCTAGTGGTGCAGCTGGTGCAGCTATAGTTGGTGCAGTCACTGCTGCTGGTTTGGTTGCTACTGCTGATAAGCCAAGTACTGAGGTAGGTAATTATAGTCTAACACAAGTCAGCTGCTTTGTATAAACCTAACCCCTTTACACTTGTTTTCACCACTATTTTTGCTTTTTTTCAGACTAAAGAAAATAAATCAGTGCCTCCATCTTCAGCTGTTGAAGCCGCACCTAGTAAGCCACCTCAGGAAGTAGGTAACAGTATACAGACATGTAAGCCCTCATGTGTAAACCACAATTTTCCCACTCAGTAGATTTGGGAAAAGCTACCAGTGCTTTCAATAATACTTCAGTATATTTCATATTTTAAAAATATATCTTTATAAAATATTAACTAATTAATCAGCCAACTACAAATAATAATCTTGTTACTGAAATGGAGAGATAACTGGTAAATTATCTTTGAATGTCTGTTGAACTTCTGCTGATTCAAAGCAGGTTTCTAGTTTGGTTTCTAGGAGGTCTCTGCAAAGGATCTGTTCCCTTCACCCTTCTTATTACTCCAATAAACAGTATCATTTATATACCGTGCCATCAGTGACCTAAGTTGCAATGACCTGCATTGAACCAGAGAGGAAAAGTAAATGCTACTGAAGTTCATTCCATACTTCCCTCAGTATTGTGTTGTTTCCTTGTGCCAGTAATCCAACATGAGACTTTAAGATCATGTTTGATGAATCTCTGCTAAATTTCAGGTGTCCACAATAGATTTTCTTGCTCTCCTTTTTCGCAGAAATAATCAATCTCTTTATTATCATGTTTTTGGCACACTGTTGCACCATATGACGGTCTTATCTGATTGTTATTGATGTTATAATATTAAGCAAAAATCCACTAGAATTTCATAACTCCTCTCTTCCCCCCCCCCCCCCCCTCCCCGCCACTCCAAGGCAAATCACTAGAACTAGAAACTCAGCTGAAATGAGAAGGGGCAGTTGAAAATTCTAGTGCTAGAACAGTTTATTGTATGTTAGCTTTTCCTGTTTGGCCAAACCAAATCCTGGCTTTGCCCCCCTTGCAGTTTGAAAGCTGGCCAAACTGCATAGCTCTGGTTCTCCATAGGCTGGTCTTAAAGGGTTAGTATCTTGGTTAATAATGCAAAAATGACCTTCCATAAAAGGCTACATTAATGTAATCACAATGGTGTGTCATATTTAATGGTCGTTTTAAATAGAGATGCTAGATCACAGATTTATTTGATTTAACAAGCAGTAGACTACTGGAATTGACTCTATATAATGGACAGGTTTTCTTCTATGACCCCAGGCTTATTTGATGAGTACTTCCCATTGTTGAGAGTTGACTGAAGATAGGGGAGAAGATTCTTGCAAATTTCAGTTAATTCCCTTGTATGTATGAATGACGTTGACAAGCACAACATTAAAGTTTTATATTCTCCAGTATTCGCATAATAAAACTAAATGTAAACTATTTTTGTTAGATTTGAGGAGAGATTTTAAAACTTTTACTGTTTCTTTCATTGTGATATATCTTTACATGCTATGTAGTGCCTTGACTTATATAACTGTCCACTTATTTTTCTAGTCTGATGTAGATAAGGCTTTAGATGACCTGATAGGGACTCTAGGCGAACCAGAAGAACATGTTCCTCCCAGTCCAGTCTACACTGGCCCAGAAATTACGGTACTGAGTTTCTTATGTTATTTATTATTATATGGGCTAAGTAATTATCCCTGTGATCTCATAACGTTTTAAATATATTCACAATTTCTCTATAAAACATAAGGAATACCTGCCTCCCACAGAATCTAGTATTATTTTAGCTATTAAGAAATCTTGCAAATATAGGTATACCATAGAATACAGTAGCAAAGGGGAAAAAAATAGCCCCTTGCTTGGTCACCAAATATGGGCTTTTCTGACAGATTTACAAAATCATTTTTGTTTTTAATCTAAATTGTTGAAAGCCGAGAGAAAAAAGCTTGGCTAGGGGAAGGGAAATCTTTCTATTGACTTTATGTGCCCCATATAAAGCATTAGGAATCTGAGAAGATGATGATAATTTCTAAATTTAGATGTGGCAGAATGGAAGAGAGAAGAGAGGTTGCAAGCCCAGTTGATAGGGAGGGTATTGAAGTTGTTACTAGCAATGGAGAGGTAAGGAAGTGGAGTAGACCAGGGGATTCCCAAAATACCTAAAAATCACATCTACATTAAAAGGTTGAGATTGACCTCGTACTTGACTCTGTCTCTTCTCAGAAGTGGGATTAGTGAGTGTGTGTCAGTGTGATTAGCCCCTTGAAGAGGGAACTGGTTTGTTAGTTTTGCCTGAGTTGGAAGAATAAAACTGTAGAAAGAGACGCTGGGTATGACAGTGGGTTCTTTGTGAGCTGGAGAGAAGGGCAGCTTATTACAAGGTAGGGTATGTCTACACTACAATGTTAGTTCGAACTAGGAAAACCTCATTTTACGAGGATTAAGCCTAGTTCGAACTTACTAGTTCGAATTAAGGGGTGTGTAGCCCCTTAATTCGAACTAGTGGAAGGCTAGCCCTCCCCAGGTTTCCCTGGTGGCCCCTCTGGCCAACACCAGGGAAACTCTATGCCCCCCTCCCGGCCCCGGACCTCGTAAAGGGGCACGGGCTGGCTACGGGGCCCCTGCCAGGTGCAAGCCTGCCAGCACCCAGCCAGCAGACCCTGCACCTGGCACGGATCGAGCCACCCACCCGATGCCCCCCAGCCCTCCCCCTCTTCCCGGGACCAGGCTGGCGGCTCCCGGGAGCTTGCCCAGAACCGCAAGAGGCAGGCACCCGCCTGGGCTAGTGCGGACATCGTGGACCTCGTCCACGATCTCCGCACTAGGCACAGGAAAGTGGCTGCCTAGGGCAGGAGAGCTTCCAGCCTGGCCACCCAGGAGCAGGTGTGCATGAAAATCAAGGGGGTCCACTGAGACCCCCGACCCTGAGCCCTGAGCTTACAATGGCCGTCCTGGGTCAGACCAAAGGTCCATCTAGCCCAGTAGCCTGTCTGCCGACAGCGGCCAACCCTAGGGACCCTGGAGGGGATGGACCGAAGACAGTGACCAAGCCATTTGTCTCGTGCCATCCCTCTCCAGCCTTCCACAAACCTTGGGCAGGGACACCACTCCTACCCCCTGGCTAAGACTATTCCATGGACCCAACCTCCATGACTTGATCTCACTTCCCTTCAAACTCTGTTCTAGTTGTATCCTTCACAGCCTCCTGCAGCAAGGAGTTCCACAGGTTAACTATTTGCTTTGTGAACAACAACTTTCTCTTACTAGTTTGAAGCCTGCTACCCATTCCTTTCCTTTGGTGTCCTCTAGTCCTTCTTTATGGGAACTCATGAAGAACTTTTCTGAATGCACCCTCTCCACCCAGCCCCTGCTTTTAGAGACCTCTATCCTGTCCCCGCTCCATCTCCTCTTTTCTAAGCTAAACAGTCCCAGTCTCTGTAGCCTCTCTTCATCTGGGACCTGTTCCCAACCCCTGATCATGTTAGTTGCCCTCCCCTCTCCCAGCCTCTCTCATCCCCTCTCCCACCTCCTTTTCCCAGTCTCCCCCAGTTTTGTTCAATAAAGACAGAGTCAATGTTGGAAGAAACGTTATCTTTATTTTGTACATCAATAAGAAGGGGGGCTAGGGAAGGGTAAGTGGAAGGAGGTGAGGGAGGAATGGGGTACGAGCCCCCATGGGGAGGACTGGGCTGGCTCTGCGGGCTTCTGGGGGGGGAAGCTCTCCTGCAGCCCCCCGATTGCCCCCTCTCCCCAGATGGCAGCCTGCGGCAAGTGCAGCCGGGCTGATGGCCGAGTGGTGTGATGTGCCCAGTGTGGGTACTCCAGGCAATCCAAGCCAGGACTGCTTTGCAAGCGGGGAACCCCTTAGAACTGTCTGTCCGGGGTGGGGGTCGGGACCCTTTAAGCGCAGCCCTCGGCTAGCCTGAGACAGCATCTCCACGCTTTAAGTCCTCCTCTGATGCCCTGCCGGCACTGCTTCCGGCCATCCTTAAGCCCTGTTCAGGGTCCACTCAATGTGGACTTGCTAGTTCGAATTAGCAAAACGCTAATTCGAACTAGTTTTTAGTTCTAGACGCGTTAGTTCGAATTAGCTTAGTTCGAATTAACTAATTCGAACTAAGTTAGTTCGAATTAACGTTGTAGTGTAGACGTACCCGTAGAAAGTCATTTTATATACTTATCTTTGTAAATTAGTAGCTTAAACTTGGTTTCAACAAACACTAGCACAACAATATTAACTACTTTTCTTTTTTAATTACAGGATACATTTTCTTCTGTATATATTGAAGAACTTGGTAAACGAGAGGGTGCTATCCCACCAGCGTACAGAAAATTATTGGAGGTAATAAAGTTGTGTGTGTGTGTGTGTGTGTGTGTGTGTGTGTGTGTGTGTGTGTGTGTGTATTGCATACAATAGAGTTCTGTTTTTGTGGTGGGATTATCTTCGCTTCACCACAGGGCTAACTTTTCTTTCAGGATAAAGGAGATGGCAAAGCTGTACCTCCAGAAAAAACGGAACCACCACCTCAGGTGAGTTTAGATTCATAACTCAAAAGGTAAAATTAAGTCGTCATCAAGTTCTTGGTTAAATTCTCATTAACTTCCTCTAACATTAGAAAAATGCTGAATTCCAGGAAGTGCTTGACCACTTGCATTTCCTGTTGAAATCAATGGGAAGCCTGTGAAGTTTGGGCACAGTATTTTTAGTTAACATAGTCTCGGAAAACTGAAAGAAATTGAAACAACTAAATCTGAGCAATTGAACTTGATAATATGAGACAAGCTATTGACAGTTATGCAAGCAGGAGCCCTTTAATACTTTGTGTGGCAAAGAATGCTTAAATTTGTGTGCTTCATAGGATCATAAGAATGTCCATAGTGGGCCAGATCATCTATCCTACTATCTTGTTTTCTGATTGTGGCCAATGCTAGGTACTTGAGAAGGAATGTACAGAACAGGTAATGAAGTGATTCACCCCCATCACCCATTCCCAGCTTCTGACAAACTGAGGCTGAGGACACCATCTCAGCTAATAGCTATCAATGGACCACTACTATCTTTTTTTTTTTTTTGAACCCTGATATAACGTTGGCCTTCACAACATCCTTTGTCTAGGAGTTCCACAGATTGACCGTCATTCCCTCAGACTAGAGTTTCATTTCCCAGTAAATTTACAAATAAAAGAAAATGAAAAGCTGATGTGAAGTATCTGAAGAAGTGTTTGAGATGTGTTCTTTCGTGGCTGCTCTGAGACAAAAGTATAACACTGACCCCTTAAATACATATTGCTTCTCCAAGCACAAACAAATTGTGAACTAAATATTGACAGCCATTGACCTTTGAATGTTAACCTTAATCTACTGTGTGATTTTTTTGTTTAGAAACCGATGACAGATGACGATATTGCAGATGCTCTGTCATCTGATTTTACCTGTAGTACTCCTGCTCATGGAGAAGAGAAAAAAACTCTGAAAGAGGTATTGATTTTGCCAACTGAGGATTTTTTAACTTTGGACTTTTGTACACTTTTTGGAAATTCTGCCAGTAACCAATTGCTTCCTTTTCTCCTTACAAAAAAGAAGCCGACAGGAGAAGAAGAAATTGTACAAGTACAGTCAACAAGTTCGGTCAAGAGTTCTGTTCCTCCTAAGGAGAAAAAACCAAAGCTGGATGAGGTATAGATATACTCTTTTTTCTGAATACTTTAATTATTATGCTGTAGCTGAATTTATGCCAAGATGTTGAACACCCTCGGCTTCAGTTGAAATTCTATTGAACATCTGAATTCCAATGGGAATTGCAGATGCTGAGGGCCTCTGAGGCATTCTCTACATGTTACAGGATTGGGCCTGAGTGGTCCAGGAATTCTGCTTTTGACGTTATCTGCAAGGATCCTATAAAACCAATAAAGTTAGTGTGTGAGCTGGTTACAAAAATGAGCTTGTGTTTTTAGTGGTGTGGGGTACTTTTTAATATCAGGATATGATTTCATCCCCTTATATGTGTAAAACTCACCTGTCCTTCCCATATCTGGAAAGATAATATGTAATTTTTTGTTTCAGTCAAGACCATACAGTGTGGGTAGTCATTGACTGTAGTACAGGTTAGACCTCCTTGGTCCGGCACCCTTGGGACCTGACTGATTCTGGACAAGGGAGCTTGCTGGACTAAGAGAGGTCTAGGAGAGGGAGAGTGCCAGCCTCCCAGCTGGGTTCCTCTCTCCAGCCTCCCGCCCTGCGAACTGCAGCAGACCCCTAGAGGTCCCAGCCCGCTGACCTCACGGCAGCTCTGCCACATCTCCTGGCAGCCCTGGTGGCTTTCCTGCCCTGCCTGCTGCAGGCTCTGCTGCCCCATGGGCTCTGCTGGCCCCACTGGCTGGTTCTGTTCTGAGCTCTGTGCTGGGTTCTCTAGTCCAGCAACATCTGTGGTCTCCCAGACCAGAGCGTCCTGGACCACAGAGATTCAACCTGCATAGGGAGTCTCTGCTTTCCTGTCTCTGAGGAATTTTTTAATTTGATTGAAACTACAGAATGTGATGAGAGGGCAGCAGATGGCAAACTCTTATGTTAAGGAAATTGGTGAAGCAGAGCGGACACAAAAGCACGTTGCTTAGCGCCATACATTGAGAAGGAGACATGTAAGGCAAACCCTGTGCCTTTTTATAAATAATCACAGTATGATTTGCATGTTTTCTTACATCCAGGCAGCAATGAGTGACGATGCACTTGAAGCCCTTGTTGACACCCTTGGTGCACCAGAACCCGAACCCAAAGAAGATCTTAGTTCCATTGCAGAAATCTCAGAGGTATAATTGAGTTTGTATTGTATCAGCTCCCAAAACTCCATTTTTCTAGGTGTACAAATGCAGAATAGGAAAACAATCCTTGCCCCAAAGAAATTACTTAAGTGACAAAAAACAGACAAGGGAAGCAGAAATGAGATACAAGTGGCCAGAAGATGGACCAGAGTAATGAATGGTGTGCTTCTTGTCAGTTATACTTTAATATATTTCTAATCATTTGTCTTTTATCTGTGTTTTCCTCTCTAGATGTTGGGTTTGGAGGTGGAGGGAGTTGGTTACAATTAATAATATTTTTCTCTTGTAAATGATTCCTATCTGACTTTTTTCTGATTTTTGTTTTCAACCTGAATCTCTCCAATGTCCCTCTTAACTTTTAGTGCTCATTTGGTATTTAATCTCTGCATGTTTTGAGTTTTATCTTTACATCTAACACCATTCACCTTATTAGCTTTACATTATTTTATCCCTTGTCCATATTCAGTAATGGCACAAAGCAGGGAGTGACAGGAAGGCAATGGAGAATTAGTTGCTCTTGTGGTGTCTGGAGTGCTGGTGCTAGTGCTGAACTTGATAGAAGGCATGGTGTGAAGAGCTAACGGGCAGGAGAGTCTAGAATCGCTGAGGGAAAGCGTCTAGAGGAGCTGAGTGCTTTGGAGCTCATGGAAGGACTCTGGAGGTATTAAGGGGTGCACTGTTGGGATTCAGTGTCCCCAGATAGTTGCCTGTGGGTCCAGTGGAGGAGGGATTCAGTCCTACACCCTTAATCTCTTTTCTGCTGCTAGTGAGGCCAGGCTTGTGGAGGCTACCAAGAGAATTGGGAGCTTTGTATTATGCCCCCTGAAGCATGTCAAGGCAGTGGCCAGTGAAGTTTGTGTCTCCAGGTCGTTTTTAAAGTGTAACACGTCATGACTATTTTCTGCACTAGTATTAATTACAAAACAATGGTTTTTTCCCTAAGCCTTCCACGCTTACCATATAGATGTGGCATGAATAGGCTATAGAAGTGTAGATTGGCTTAATCTGACTTTAGTACCTTTTTAGAACATGTCACTTAGATTGCAAATTATCCTTTTTAGTGAAGAGGGAGTATTGGTGGGTTTTCCTGGAATTTCTGTTCATCTGTATCTGTGTCCTCTTCTTCAGGCAAAAGCCAAAGAGAAAAAAATACAGAAGCCTGGTGAACGTGATGATACAATTCCTCCAGAATACAGATTGAAACCTGCACTGGTAATTTTTCATCTGTACTTTCCTTTGTTGTGTCACAGGCAGGTAGTGAAGTTGAGGAAAATAAGTGGTGGAGCTCTATTAGTGACTAACACTGAGTGCATTCTGTGTGGATGGGTCTTGTATCCCACAGCCCTGTCACTTTCTTTATGGGTTCACTTGGAACTCTCTGCTGTCCCTCACAGTAATGTGCTGATGTCAGAGAAAGGAACATGTAGATTTACAAACAGTGTTGGCATTTATTTGGACTAGTTTCTCATGGAAAGTGCCAGAAGCATTATTTTATAACTGGACATGTCACTTGTATATAAATAAATATGTCTGGGGAGCTCATTCGTGTAGTATAAGGGCCTCACAAACACAATAGAGAAGTATTATCCATATTTTACCAATGGGAACACAGAAGATTTGTTCAGAATTGTCAGTACTGATACAGTTAACAATGTTTCAACTGTCCTCATTAGATTGCAGTAGTATAGAATCATAGAATAGAATCATAGGGTTGAAAGAGACCTCAGGAGGTCATCAAGTCCAACCCCCTGCTAAAAGCAGAACCAACCACAGCTAAATCATTCCAGCCAGGGCTTTGTCAAGCCAGGACTTAAAAACCTCTAGGGTTGGAGATTCCATCAGCTCCCTAGGTAACCCATTCCATACTTGACCACCCTCCTAGTAAAATAGTTTTTCCTAATATCCAACCTAAACCTCCCTCCCCACTTGACACCATTGCTCCTCATTCTGCCATCTGTCACAACTAAGAACAGCCTCTCTCCATCCTCTTTGGATCCTTCCTTCATGGAGTTGAAGGCTGCTATCAAATCCTCCCTCACTCTTCTCTTCTGTAGTCTAAATAAGCCCAAATCCCTCAGACTCTGCACGAAGGGCTCCAGCCTCCTAATAATTTTTGTTGCCCTCTGCTGGACTTTTTCCAACATGCCCACATCCATTCTGTAATTGGGGAGGAGGGGGTTTCAAAACTGGATGTAGTACTCCAGATGTGGCCTCACCAGTGCCGAATAAGTAGCACGTTCCATTCTGAGTGGGGGCAATTCTTACCTCTCAAAGTATGTCTAGATTACATGGCTCCGTCGACGGAGCCATGTAAACTAGTTTACCCAGCATAGGCAAAGAAGCAGAGATTTAAATTATCCCCGCTTCATTAAAATAAACATGGCGGCCGCGCTGTGCCGACAATCAGCTGATCCGACACAGCGAGGCAGTCTAGATGTGGATCTGGCAGCTGGGGAAGCCTTTGCCGACTGATCCCTTATGCCTCATGAAATGAGGTTTCTGCGTCTAGACTGCCGGGCTGTGTCAGATCAGCTGATCATCGGCACAGCATGGCGGCCATGTTTATTTTAATGAAGCAGGGATTATTTAAATCCCCGCTTCCTTGACTATGCCGAATAAACTAGTATACATGGCCCTGTCGATGGAGCCTGAGTTATGACTTATACATTGACTTATAATTTTCAGGTATGGTATGTACTATACATCAGTGTTGGGCAATAACCAGCCTGCAGGACCAGACACAGTTAACCAGGTGTAACCCTTCTGCTGGGTAGGCCTGGCAGCAACCAGGGCCGGGTTAAGTCTCTGAGGGTATCTGCTTGTAGTCCTGGGAAGCTCACCTGCGTAAGATGACATTCAGATCTTCTTCAGAGCCATAAAGACTACAGATTTAGGACCTATCTGACTATTGAGTTATCTCCTGTGTTACATTAATGCTGAGTTAATCCAACATAAAACTGGAGGAATGTAGTAGTGCCTGACCTAGGGGTGGATTCTCAGCAGTCCCTTTGTGCCACTCGGGTTGCAGCAGTATCTGACCAGCTGAGAAATGCCCTACAAGAGCAATACTGAAATATAGTCTGGCTCACTTTGGGTACGTCTAGACTACATGCCTCTGTCGACAAAGAGCGTCCAGACTACATCCAGTTCTGTCGACAAAGCAAGCCGCTTTGTCGACATGAGAGTGTAGACGCAAAGGACAGTGTAGATGCAATAACGCCTTCTCTGTTGGCTCAGCGCGGCAGCCATGTAAATTTAAATGAAGCGGCGATTATTTAAATCGCCGCTTCATTTTCCTATGTCTGGTAGCCTAATCTACATGCCTCTGGCGACAGAGGCATGTAGTCTAGATGTACCTTTTGTGCCCAGTCATAGTTTCTGTGGCTTCCTTCTGTTGTCAGGCTCCACTGATGAAGGTAAGGAGACTTGCTGCTCCTAACCTATATTATGAAGATAAAATGTGTCTGTGAAATTCTACATTGTCAGTGTATGTCAGCAAATGTGGTATGCCACAAATTTTGCTACTTGTGTATTTTAATTTTGGGTTTGTTTTTTTTATTACTCAGATTATGTGTTTAGCTACCTTTCCTACTGCAAATATCCTAAACTTACAATTGGGTTACTGGCATGGAAGAACTAACATTATTTATGTTTTACTTTGCAGGATAAAGATGGAAAACCATTATTGCCAAAACCTGAAGAGAAGCCTAAGGTTAAAAAAGAAACAATATTATGGGGTTGTGACTAGATATTCTGGTGGATTCCTGATGATAGTTTTTGTGTTCCATCTTTGTCATCTATTCTCCTATGTTTGTAGTATAACTACACAATCTCGGTCCCTTTTTATAGACACACTTGTTTACACACTGGATAAGTGTAGGTGTATTTTACTGTCTAGCCATCTGTCTTTAACTGATATTAAAGTTGAATATTATTATTCTGTATGTGGTATACGTAGAGACAGGATGGAGACCATTGCTACACAAAAATGTAAATATTTAGTGTGTCTCACTTTTCACAAAAAGGGTCATAGAACCATCAATGACACGTTGTTGAAGGAGAACAACTGTGTACAGATTGTAGCCTGTTTCTAAAACATTCCCAGAGGAAACCATTACGAGTTAGAAATCATTATTTTAGCCAAAAAAAAAAAGTTGCAAACAGCTTAATTTGGGAGGGCAAAAGCTGAATAATTATTTTAGCCAAAAAAAAAAAAAACAGCTTAATTTGGGAGGGCAAAAGCTGAATTTTATTTAAAATGGTAGATATCTGAGCTGAGAGTTAAAAGTGAGAGTCAAATGGTGATATTGTCTGCTTCCAGTTACCTACACATGATCTGTACTTTAAGCATTGTAATAGAATACTGTCATACTAATCGTTAGGTCTAGTCTACACTTAAAACTTAAGGTAGGTACAGCATCAGAGTGTGAATTTTTCACACCCTCGAGCACCACATCTATGCTGACGCAATTCTCAGAGTAGGCATAGGTGAGCACCACATCTGTGCTGACGCAATTCTCAGAGTAGGCATAGGTAGGGTAATGGAAGATTGATTCTGTCGATCCAGTTGCTATCACTCAGGGAGATGCTGTTTCCACAGTAATGGGATAATGCCTTCCTTCACCGTAAGTTATGCCTATGCTATGCAGTGATCCTGGCATAGCTACATTGCTGTAGCTGTGCCAGTATAGACCTCACAGAGTAGACATAGCATGAGTAATTTATGCTGTTTCTTTTGAAAGCTTATTCTGCTTAATGAAATGAAAAACTTATACGTTCTTTTCACTAACATTGTAAACAATTTTTTAAATGGAATGTTACTCCATTAAAAACATTTTAATTGAAAAACTCGACAAATTCTGGAACGGGTTTTCTTAATAAATATTCGTTAGCTATGGATTCGCAATATATTTTAAAAGCTGCATTCTGGCTGCTGACCAAGCAAATTTGCTTTGAAAAGTTAAGGTAAAATTTTTATAAAAACAGTTGAATCAGTCCCTTCATACCACATTTGTGTCCATTTTGCATTACAGCCTATAAGCGAATCTGATCTTATAGATGAATTTTCAAAAGATTTTGTCTGTCCTGCACCACCTGCAGCCCAGTCTAAACCATCTAAACCCACTGACACATCTAAAGTAAGTAAGTTTCCTTCAATCTTATGTGTTAAACAATTTTTTAATATTCAGTGTTCAGTTTCACTGTCACGGGATACAATTTTAGGATGGAGGAACGCTTCTTAAAATTTAAAGTCCATACTTCTCTGGTTTCTGTAATCCATAATATTCTTTTCCCAGAAATATCTCCTCTATCTTTTTCTCCAGTTGTCCTTGGTAGTTTATACTTTGCCTATTCCTGCTAGTGTTGTGACTGGTTTTTAGCTTAAATGTATGCTCTTTTTTAGTGTATTACACTGACTACTATTCAAATAACCTTGCAACAGCCATTCTTTGTTGCATTCTGTTAAAAAAAGGCCTATATCTTCATATTCTTTTTCTGATTTTTCATTGCTCTGTGCTTCCATACATTAATAAAGTTCACCGCATTTGTTTCTTTCAGAAATCTGATGCTACTGCAACTAAAAAGGCTCCTGCAGAGGAAGTTGTTTCCTCTGCTGTAGTTTCTACTATACAGTCTTCAGCTCCCTCAACTACTACTTCAGTGAGTAATCCCATGGAGAATTGGAACTGGTGCTAAAGTAAAAGCTCAAAGCTGTTTTGTGAAAAGCTAGAGAAGTATATGGCTTTATGGAATAGTATTACAGACTTTCCTGCCAAGCACTGCAGAATACTCTCTTCATGGCTTATCTGTATGATATACATTGAATTTTCTATGGAACACCCATGATTTGAACTCTTGTGATGCAATTTTTTCTTGAAACAGACAATAGTTTCACTATGCTAGAGGGTATGTGGTTCAGATGCTTTCCTAAATTCCCTTTAAGATGATGCTGTTTGTGAACTTTTTATTACCACTTAAGATCAGCTAAAAAAGCCAGCTGCCCTCTTATGTGTTTGAGGTGGTTAGATTACTGGCAGACTCTATGAACCCCTGTGTTCATGGGGTATATAAATAAAAACTTATGGAAGTGTCAAGTTGTTGATCACGTCTATCTGAAAAACACTCTGCCAAGATCCTGGAGGATCTGGGCTGTGGTGACACAGTTTCAGGGAAAAGCTATGCTAAATTCAGGGCCCATTTTGGTAAAGGGTTTTGAAAATGTCACAATTTCAGATTCTTAAATTTGAAATTTCATGGTGCTATAACTGTAGGAGTTCCAACACAAATGGAGGTCATCATTGGGGAGCACAAGACTACTCTAGATGGAGTCAGTATTGCCACCCTTACTTCTGTGCTGCTGCTGGAATAGTACTGCCTTCAGAACTGGGCCTTCCGGCCAGTGAACATAGAATTTCCTTACAGCTGAGGGAGGTTCTCAGTGGTGGGTCTAGGCCCATGCAGAGGAAGTCCCATCTCTCCACAGCCAGGTCAGGACTAGCAACTAGCACCCAGCACACAATAGGTTGCTCTAGCATATCCATGGCTTAGGGGCTAAAAGGGTCTTGGGTTGGCAGTGAGAGGTGGCCTTTGGGGCTCCGGGGGGGCCCCCCCATCCATAAAGCCAAGCCTGTCCCCCAAAAAGTAACGACCTTCCCCATACCAGGCAACCCTTGCTTCTGTGCTGGACTGAGTGCCTCTGACTGCCCAGCTCTGAAAGCAACACAGATGTAACGGTGGCAATGCCTCTTATAATAGCTAGGGTTCAGGGTCCATGATCTGTTTTTCATTGCCATGAATTTGGTAGGGCCCTATTTATATTTGTGGTTTTAGTAGTATGGATAGTTTGTATCTTGGCGCAAAATAAAGATTACTATGTTTTTATAATCTGTGGCTAGAAATTCTGAATAAGTTCCTTCAAAAATAGCTTAACTGTCAATTTGCAGTTATGATTAATAACATCTTATGCTTTTTTAGGGTGGAGGTGTGTCAGATGAGGCAGTGGATGCCTTGTGTGGTAGTCTAGGAAAGAGAGAACCTGACCCCAAAGAAGAAAAACCTGCTGTGGATAAAGTGAAGGTATTAAAATATCCAAGGCCTTAAAAAAACAGTTTGTGAAAGTAGTTATTGTGATTTATGTTATACTATCTTAGACTTACCCATTTGCAATGGGCCACATTTTGTCATCTATTTTTACTATTTTTAAGCAGAACTTCCCCTTGAAACTAGTAGAAGGAATTCACTTAAGAAATTTGCGATGGGATCCTTAGGCCTGAGCTGCCTCTCACACGGTGATGCTAATGTCAAGCTATAAGCCTCTGACAGGCACTATTTACACAGCCCTCCACAGGCAGGACAAACCCAAGTCAGTTATGTGAATGATCTCCCAGCTACTCATGAACCATCAAATTAGAGGCATCAGCCAATTCCCTCCCAGTAATCCAGGCTTGCACCCCAGAAATATACTGTCTTGCTCTGCTCAGTATTGTGTTGGACAGTGCAAATTCATTCACCACATCTTCATAGGATAGTAGACATGCACCGGCCTTTGTAATCTGAGCTGAGATTCCCCAAGCACTTCAACCAAAAGCACACTATTCTAGGTAAAATATAAAACATATTTATTAACTACAGAAAGATAGATATTAAGTAGATATATAAGATAGATTATAAGTAGCATGAATAGAGATCAAAGTTGTCTGCCTAAGAAATAAAAATAAATGTTCAATCTTAGTTCTAATTTAAACAGACAAAGCAAGACTTGAATCAGTGTTTCACCCTGGGTGGTATTGGCAGCTTACAGTTCCTCAATATATAGACTGGTCCCAGGCTGGAGAGGGTCCAGTCTCCCTAGTTTAAAGTAAGGATGTTAAATTTAGATTAATCAGCTAATCAAATAGTCAGTGTAATCTGCATGGACTATTTGATTAGTCAGTAAGGGCGCCTCTGCCTTTGAAATGTGTCAAGAGCCCTGATAGCTCTTGCTACTTTTCAAAGGTGGAAGCACTGCAGGGAGTATTGCCAGTGGGGAACTCGAGCAGCCCCCCACTGACCTTGTGCACCTTCCTGTTGAAATGTACAGGAGTCCCAGGAGGGCTCTTATACATTTCAAAAGCAGGGAGCATGGGGTCAGCAGGGGACTGTTTAAGTCCCTAGTTCACCCCAGGCTCCCCACAGCGCTTCTGCTTTTGAGATCCCTGCTCTTGCTACATTTCAGAGGAAGAAGTGCTGCCAGTTCCCTGCTGTGCCCGTCCCCTCTTATCACAGAGATAGTGCTGGGGGAAACCGGCTTTTAAGCCAGCTCTCCCCCCCAGCACCAGATCCGTCTCTCCCCCTACCCCCTTGATGCCTCTCTTCTAGAGGCAGCCATGGCGGGGGCAGGGGAAGCTACTAGTCAAGTCACTAGTTGACTGTCCGATAAGCATTTGCTTATCGGCTAGTCGACTAGTCACTTACATCCCTAGTTCAAAGTCTGTGCCTTCCAGATAATCTTCCAGGTATTGAGATGGGGGGAGGGGGAGAAAGAGGCCAAATGATGATGTCCCTCTTTTATACTTTCTTACAGCTGCTAGAAAGATCCTTGCTGTGAGCTAGTCTGTTCCCATGGCATACATGCCTTTACTGAGAAATCCCTGGGAGAGTAGATTCTTTCTGTCTGATCCTCATTTGCTGCAGCTGAAAGGCTGGCTGTGGGCATCCCAACCTCACAGCATATTTTAGTAACACATATAGCAATACATGCAATTAAACAGGATATAATGTTCAACAGATCAAGACTTTAAAATGATACCTCACAGAGCATACTTTGAATAAAACACATCATAATCATATCATGGTGCTGAATATACTGGCTCCAGGCTATTAGTTGGAGGTAGAGTTTCATAACATTCTTAGCATAAATTAGTGCAGAGTGAGAAGTGATTTAAAAAAAAATAATTTTAGGCATGCATGCATATGGTAAGAATGAAATAGTTGGTAACACAGTATCCTTTCTACATTCACGCAGTTCCTGGGATCAATGGCTTTTCCATATGGGCAAAGAGAAGACATTGATGGAAAAATGATAAAGGACAGAAACAAAAATACATAGGCAATGCAGCAGTTGCTTATAAGCATTTCTCATGATATCAGTTTTCAAGTATTTAAAAGGAACAAAAATACATAGGCAATTCAGCAGTTGCTTATAAGCATTTCTTATGATATCAGTTTTCAAGTATTTAAAAGGGTGTTAAAAGGAGGCGGGAGAAAAATTGTTCTCCTTGGCCTCTGATGATAGGAGAAGAAATAATGGTTCTAAATTGCAGCAAAGGAGGCTTAGGTTGGACATAGGGGAAAACGTCCTAACTGTCAGGATGGTTAAACACTGGAATAAATTGCCCAGGGAGGTTGTGGAATCTCTGCCACAGGAGATATTTACGAGAAGGTTGGATAGGCATCTATCAGGGGTTCTTGGTGCTGCCATGAGGGGAGGGAACTGGACTTGAGGATCTCTCGAGGTCCCTTCCAGTTCTAGTATTCTCTGATTCTATGATTTAGTGTCTAAAAACTAAGCTAAAGCAGAAGTCAAATGTGTATTTAAAACAAAATCAATGTTTAGTGTCTACAAAATAAAACAATCTTTAGATTTTTGCTGGCTTATTTAGTAAATTTCCTCTTCTTTCTGAACATAAAGACAAAGGAAGAATTAAAATGTATAGCTCCATTTATTTGTAAAGTGTGCTATAATTGAAACAGGGTTCATATATTAGTTGAAGGATCTTTCAGTCTGTTTTATGAAGATATTCATGTTTCACAATTTGAACATTTTCTGCCAGATATTATGCTGTTAAAATAAATGGAATTACTCCTCATTTTATAGTGAAGTGAGTGGGAAATTCAATATAAGGTGCATCAGAAGAAAGCATATTTTTCCTGATAATGAAACTGCCCTTGTAAGGGAAAATCTGCATACAATTATGCTGTAGTGAAAGAGAGTCAACAACTTGCTCACTTGCAGTGTGTAAGGGCCTTTTGACATGTCTGAAAGAGATTCCACATTTGTTTTCCCGCTCCCCCATTTTTTCCCTAGGAAAAAACTAAACAAGAAGAACGAGAAAAACTGGGAGAAGATGAAGAAACAATCCCTCCTGAATACAGATTAATAGAAGCAAAGGTAATTTTTTTAGCATATTCCTATGTTCTTTGCACCGCTTTCCTCCGACGTGGATATTGCTTCAGGTACTATACTACTACAAAATAGTTGGGTTCATTGCAATTTGTAGTTCATCATTGTAATTTGTGGTGTATTAGCATATCCAGTAGTAGGCAACTTTTAGTTACGTATCTAAATGCAGGCAGAGTTAATTTAGCTTTATGCACTCAAATGTGCATAATTGGGTGAGAGGGATCAGTTGGATTCTTTGGATTTTATTTGTTTGAAGCACAAATAGTAATTAATGTTTAGCTTTATGCATTCAAATGTGCATAATTGGGTGAGAGATCAGTTGGATTCTTTGGATTTTGTTTGTTTGAAGCACAAATAGTAATTAATTACATCACTGTAACTCAGTGAAGCTCATGGGTAATCATCACGTGATCCTTCTCTTGCCATCAATTTGGGGATTTTTGCAAATATCACCGACGGTGGTGATATGATGATAGTAGGGTGGCACAGGCATAACTGAAGCCTGCAGAACCTTTGTTACTGATGCTGATTTGTTAGAAGGAAACGCCCCTCCTTGACGCATATTCTGGAGTGATTACACAGGGCTTACAGGTTAGGCTTTCATTTGCAAACTGAGCATATTTGATAAGCAATGGAGAGACAGTAAACAGGGAAGCTCAACATGACCATTTTTGAGTCTTTCAGAGCAGAACTGTGATTTTAAATGCTTACAACTGTATTTGTGCCAAAGCCTGAGCAATGACAATCAAAAAGGCTGGGGAGGGGCAGGGACAGGCAAATATTCTGTGTAATAACACTTTGCATATTTTTAACCACTGTTACCAAAAGACTTGGATGTCGTGGTCATAGAAAACTACTTTGTTAAACAGTGTTTTTCCCTGTAGGATAAAGATGGAAAACCACTCTTCCCACCAAAGTCTGAAGAAAAACCCCAGGTGAGTGAGTAAATATTCAGAAAATCTTAAACTTTTCCATTTATTATTCATTAAACAGAGAAAGAAACGATTTCCTATTATTTAAGCTTTCAGCTATATTCTGATTCTCTAAATTATGCAGGTATAATCAGACGATTCAGCAGATTTCAAACAACAAAAAAGGATAAAAAAGCAGTTTGTTTTTTTTTAATTGCAGCCCATGAGTGAAAGTGATATTCTGGATGCTTTGTCAAAGGGATTTGCCACTTCCCCAGCAACAACATTACAGTCTGCACCGCTATCAACACCTAAAGTAAGATCTCTGCACGCATTTGTTCTGTATTTGGTTTTATATTCAAGTTGTTTAAATAATTTTCCATTATTTTTATAGTACGTGTAGGAAGTAAAATACTGACCCAGGCAATAAAGAAAAATCAGGTGTGCTCTGATGTTGTGTCTAGTTCAATAGATGATTGCGATGGTAACATACAATCATTAAGATTTTTTCAAAGCAGTCTAGGGGATTTAGACAGATGGGATGAAGTCCTAGACCCATTAAAATCTCTATGACCATTTCCATTGACTTCAGTGAGGTCAGAATTTCACCCACTAATTTTAATGGAGAGAATGTGTCTAAACCCACTAGGCTGAGATGGGCATGTTATTTCTGAGGTATGGAGTGTAGAAAACATAAGTTTAAATGACTTCCCAAGAACTGTTATGCCCTCTAATTTTGTGTGTGTGAATTAGGCTAAAATAGATACAGTATGTCAGAAAAATCAGGTCCCAGATGAGCACTTGTTTTTTATTTTAAATGTGCTTCCCATAAACTTAGGATTTCTTATATATGTTTATAGTATTACACACTCGTAGCAACAGTGTATGTTTTTGTTTGTTTGTTTTAGAAATCCATGGCTGTTAAATCTTCCCCAGCTACCTCTGAAGAAGTTGTCTCTTCCACTACAGCTTCTGGAGTGCACTCAGCAGCTCCTTCAGCTGCCCCCCCAGTAAGCTACATGCATTCTTGTTGGTGATAAGGTTCAGACTAAAACCTGTTAGAGGAAGAAAGCCGGAGACCTTTTGAGAGCAGTTCTTAATGGTGGGGCCTGTTGTAAAATTGAACCCTTTGCTGTTGAGACTGGCTACTAAGAAGATAGATTTTTCTCTGGAAAATAATTCTAGGCTCATGCATTTTGGGTACAGTTTTGCTCTGTGAGTCAAATTGTACATATATGTAACATAAACCAAGTTCTAGAAACTTCCTGGCCAGCAGCAGGAGTGAAGGCTTTTAGTTGTCCATCTCTCCTGGTTTCTCCAGAAACATGGACGACATAACAAGATGTGGCCTAGCAGTTGTGATTAATGTGGGTTGTTGATTGTTAGAAGGAAATGGTCCTCTTTGACCTTAAGTCTTGGATTGATTAAACAGGGCTCCCAGTTAGGCATTCATTTGCAAATTAAGCATATTTGATAAGCAGTGGAATGACAAAAACCAGGGAAGCTCACAATGACCTTTTTAGAGTCTTTCAGAGTAGAACTGTAATTTTAAATGCCTACAACTATATTTGTGCCAAAGCCTGAGCAATGGCAATCAAAAAGTGGGGCAGGGAAGGGACAGGAAACTATGCTATGTAATAACACTTTGTATATTTTAACTGCTGTTACTGAAAGACCTGGGTGTTTTGGTCCTAGAAAACTGCTTTGTTAAACAGTGTTTTTCCCTGTAGGATAAAGATGGAAAACCACTCTTGCCAAAGTCTGAAGAAAAACCCCAGGTGAGTGAGTAAATATTCAGAAAATCTGAATGTACATGCAAGAGCCAGCAATAGTCTGTATGAATAGCCTCATTTTCAGCTCTGAACTGGAATAGATTTTATAATTGATCAGTGAGAGGGACTGGTTTTGGCCAGAATAGGAGCACACTTTTGTTGTTGTTTGTTTTTGCAGTGTGTATGTGCACATTTTTGGGGTCTATTATGCTTCCCCCCCATCTTTTGTCTGCCAGAATTTAATCCTATATTTGGTCAGATAAATAAAAATAAGAGCTAGATCCTGATGGGTATTTTCTTTCCGGCCATGATAATGGGTATGGAGGTTGGGTTTTTCTGGTTTTGTTTTGTTGGTTTGTTTTTATTTGCTTGCTTTTGGCGAGGCACCTGCAGGTGGGCTAGAAAAAGAAAATGCAAATAAATGTAGAATTCTATAATGTCGTCATGACAAAGCAGGAAAAGTAAGGATTAATGGGGAAGAGTGCTTCTTTCCATCCTCTGCTAAAATCAGAGGAGAGCTTTCCTTAGCTTGGATAAGCAGGGGTCTTACACATCCCCCATCTCCTTCCGGTGCAGTGAAAGCTCACTCTTCTGTTATGTGTCTATTAACTATGTGTCTATTAACTGGAGAAGCTAAATTTTTCAGGAGGTAAAACTTAACAGATTTAAATAAAAAGCAGCACATTCTGGAAGGAAAAACATTTCAAATGTTAATGGAAAAATTATACAGCCAGGGAATTTTAAGTTAGGCAACTGGCACTTGCTTCGCAGCTTATCTAACTAATAAGGTATGTATATGCTTCGGTGTAAAAAAACAAAAAAAATTGCAGCACTGAGTTATAGAGCCCAGGTGAAGTGACTCAGGTGCAGGCTGCAGAGCGAAAGGTATAGTGCAGTATAAGATGCAATGAAGGGAAAGGAGGGTCTCAGAGGTCAGGCTAGAGCCTAATCCCAGATGTTTATACTACATTTTTCAACCCAAGTTAGCCAACCCAGGCCAACGGCATCCGTTTTGCAGGTCTCTTACTGTTCTGTAGACATGTCCATAATTACCTTGGCAGAATGAGAGAGCACCTGTTTGTCAAGATGATCCATTTTAAAATTGTTTCTAGTTTCAATATTTTCCTAAATTAGAATTGGTTTGCTTGTAGCAGAAGAACAAAGACATTTCAACTTCCTTGTCTATACTAACTGATCTCTTCTCTGGCTGTAACCATCATGATACCATCTATATGTTTTGTTAGTCTGTAAAGTGCTACCAGACCATTAGTTGTTTTTTAAGTTTATCATGTACAGACTAACTCGGCTATCCCCTGAAACTTGTAAATATTCAGTAACTTTCCTATGATGGTCACTACTTTGCAATTAATTTTATTTATGGTATTTCAATGGCAGAGTAGTCTTTGTGTTGGATGAAGTTAGTGTTTATTGTATCTCATTTAAATCCAGGGGTTTTTGTGTCATGTTTTCTTGAATATATTTACATTTTGCTAGGGTGGGAAAGAGCAAGATGATGCCCTAGACCTCCTGTCTGATTCACTGGGACAAAGAGAACCTGATCCTGATGAAAATAAACCTCTTGTGGATAAAGTAAAGGTAGTGAACTATTCTCTGCTTGTACCACCAAAAACAAATGGAACATACACCTTATCGTTTTTAATGTATTTCTTTTACACAGAAGAGAATATGATACATTATTTTCAAGCACAAGAATAATTTTAGTGAAGATAAAGTGTTCATGTATCCTATGTTTAAGCTGTGCTTCGTTTTTATTCAATAGCTGTAATTCAGTTTAACATTTCATGTTTTCTTGAGGGTGTCCTGGTTTCAGGCAGTATATCAAAACAGTTAGCATTTTGGACAGACAGGTACACGTTATACATTCATTCGCATGTCATTGGGATTGCACAGGTTAAAAAAATGTGCAGAAGTTGGTCCCTCATTTTTTTTTAAATCTTTGAAGAAAGCACTATATAAACTCTGCAATAAATTGTCTGAAAGGGTGTCCAACTAAGTACTGATGTAATAAAAATAATTAATGTTGGCAAATGACAGCAAGCCCAGAACAAAATTTGGTATATGTGCCTCAAATTATAGAACATGTATGTTAACTGTTGTATCTTTTAACAAAACATACATAAAAAGTTTATAGCTAATTTGGCTGCTTTGTTTTTCAGTTAAAAAAGAGTCCTCTAAATTTTTTACTGTAAATAGCTAGTTTTTGAATATGTGCTGAAAAATATACATACATCTAATCAAATAATACATAAAGCAGCCTAAACAGATTTGACTGTCGAATGAATGCTTCCCTCTTCCCTGGTATTCAGGATGTTATGATGCCATATCCTCCTAATCATATGTTTAAAACAGTCTCTGGCTGCAACTTAATTCTGACTGTTTCCTAACTAATAAGAGACAGACCACTGGCATTTAATTGTGAAATTTGGCTGGCAAGAACCTTGCATTTTTACACATTCTGAGCATGGCTGAAGAGTTGCAACACACGGCTATGGCATTATAAGAACTTTAACCTTAAGTTTGAACTAGAGTAGTAAATGGATGAGTTCTAATATGATGGTGCAGTGTGCTGAACACAAGGAGCTGAGTTGTTGAGAAGCAAAACTGAAAATGTACTTGAAAAAGATCTGTTGTCATTTTGTGGGTTTTAACGTATTAAAATAGTATCAGAGGGCAACAGTTTTTAAAGCTTGTACACAAAGTGCACTGTTTGTGATTAAGCAGATATGTACCCATTCCCACTGTGATGCCTATACTCTTGTGTATAAAAATGCTTTTGTGCTCATAAAATATTTTTCCAAAAGAGGAGGACTTTTATAAGAGCTACTACTGAAAAAAATTCTCTGTTTAATAAAGTCATCCTAGCATTTCTATTTGGATCATTTATTTGTATGACACAAAATTACAGGAGCAGTAGATACCGTTTGCTGTTAATTGACCCCACCTTTCTAATGGAGGAGATCAGTAACAGTGTTTTATTTCATATTCTTAGGAAAATGCTAAATCTGAACACAAAGACAAACTTGGGGAAAGAGATGATACAATCCCTCCAGATTACAGGCATATTTTGGATACAAATGAGCAGGTAAACACAACCAAATATCTCAGTGGCCACATTCTGAATTTGGATTCAGTCATCTTAACAGTGCAACAAGCTTACGCATGTGTAGGTCAGTTCTCCCATTAGTAAAATTGTGTGAGCAACCATTGGAGTTACCTGAGTAACCTATCAATTGGCATTACCTACATAAATCCCCACCCCTTAGATGGGAGAATGGAGTCCCTAAACCATTATGTCTCATCCAGAGAAAATGGACTGTTCTTTTTTACATTGAACAAAGTCAGAATTGTTAAAGCCACTTTAAACCGCCATCAGTGATCAATGTAACCAGGAAGTACTGGGATCCACATAGTTGAAAATCAGGCTCATGGTTTGTGGATGAGAAACATTACATAAGTACTACCGGTTTTGTGGAACTGGCAGGAATAGTCTTGTGAAGCTCTCATTCATTTTACTGAGTCACTGCCATGCCAAGGGAATGACCATGCTCAACAAATGAGAGCCAGACAGTGTGTCCCAAGTTCTCTTCTACTGAAAGAATCTAGGGTAAAATGTAGATTAATTTTCAGGGGGACATTAAAACAGGAAAAAATGTGAGGTCACAAGAATCTGATGAAGAAGGCTGTGTAGGTATAATAAATGGATTGTAAAGTAGATAGGGACAGTAAAGGATTGTGAATAAAGTAAGAGTTTATTTCACTGTAAGTTTGATCCATCAGCTCAAATTAAGGGTGAAATCTATCTGCTTTTTAAAGGGTAAACCAGTAAAGCCAACAGTAAAGGAGGATGTGAAACCCAAAGAACCAAAGGTAAAAGTCATTACAGTTTTATAATGCAGCAAAAATAATAAGTTTTATAATCTGTTCCTGAATGTACTGTGAACTGAATGCTGATCTAAACGATATTGTTGATTCATTAACACTGTATATTGCAAATCCTTAAATGCTGGTGACTAGGTATAGAAATGCTTTGCTTATTTTAAGTGAGAATAAAGACTTTCATATAAGTACTTGTAATGTGGATGTTACATGCACAGCTATATTAAAACAATGTTAAAGTTGTAAAGTCAAGTATTGAAAAGTTCAGAATGTCTCAGAGTTAAGGTTGTCTGTACAGTCTAAATTAGACAGTACTACCAGCTTCACCTGTAATAAGAATATGGAATCAAGATTTAAAAAAATGAATTGTTAAAAGCATATTTAAGAAACTATATAAGTAGCCTTACGTTCAAAAAAAAATGCTGAGCCTTAATAGCTCTGATTTCAAAATGGCAGCACTTCTTGAAAATCAGGAAACTGAGTGTTATCTATTTAAATATGGACTAGGAGTCAGGTTTTTTGAAAGTTTCAGACGAGTGATTTCAGGGAGCTGCATTTACACGGGGAATAGAACTATGCTATGTATACAGCTTTGTGGATTGGAAAAAAGTGCTTAGGATATTTTTGCTGGCTAAGATTCGTTTTTTGCTTTACTTGATAATCTTAGAGTACAATCTATGAATTCTTTGTCTTCTACACTTTGTGTCTGTTACAGAAACCTACAGATGACTCTGCAGCTATTGATGCTTTATCAGGGGACTTTGATAATTGCGCAAAAACTCCTGCCACAACACAACACTCTAAGGTACGATATTTTCTCCCCAGGAATTTGTGAATTAGTGTATATTAATGGCCCGCACAGGTGGAGATTAGTATTTTTATTTCTTTTGCTTTGACTCTGTTTATGTTTACCCTTTCAAATGCTCTGCTATGGGGAAGTGTAACTTAAAGGGACGCTGTTAAGGCTTCAGTGTGGGTCTGACATACTTTTAGAAGTATGAGAATTGACTGGGTTCAAAAAATAATTAGCCAAGTTCTTGAAAGAGAGGTCTATCAATGACTATTAACGAAGTGGTCAGGGGTGCAACCTCCTTCTCTGTGTGTCCCTAAGCCTCTGACTGCCAGAAGCAGGGACTGGATGGCAGAGAACAAATCACTTGATAATTATCTTGTGCTAGTTATTCCCTCTGAAGCGTCTGGCACTGGCTATTGTCACATGGCAGGATACTTAGTGGGCTAGATGGACTATGGGTCTGACCCGGTGTGGCCATTCTCATGTTCTTATCCAGAGATCCCAATTGTTTCCATAGTCTGCCTTGGATAAAGATCAGGAGGAAATAAGAATAGATATATAAGTGAGGCTGGAATTGCATGTGGCCCTGATGAAGACAAAAAGTCTGAATGTAACGCAGGAGAGAAAAATCCTGTTGAAGTAATCCTTCGAGCAGGAGTGGGGAACTTCGGGCCTGGGGGCCGAATGTGGCCCCTGGCTTGCCTGGATCTGGCCACTGAGACTCAGTGCCTCTTCCCCCCAGCATTGGGGAGTATGCACTGGCGCGCCAACCTCCCTGCTGCCCCACCTCAGTGTTGGAGCACAGAAAATCTACTTAGTCTGGGCCCCTATTGGCTCTGGTGTGGGAGAGGGATGTGGGGAGTGTCTTTCTGCTTCTCCTTGTCAGTGGTGGTGAGGGGGGGGAATTGGCTTCTCACTTGTGTGTGGCTCCAACTGATTTTTTTTCCTGTGGGTCAGCATCCCTGACCCAGAAAAGGTTCCCCATCTCTGCCTTAGAGCAATGAGAGAGCAAGGTGGATTTCAGTAGCAGCTTTTGTATAGGCTGAGGTGGAACAAGATGAAACATGAAGGCAGAGAGGAGAAGTTTTGCCTTCGTGGCTGCAAGTATGATCAAGATCTAAGGGAAGGTTGGAACAAAGGAAAAGCTGGTTTGTGAAGATGCTGTAAAAATAGTGGTAGAAGTCCAGACTTGACAGTCTGGAGAGAACTTGGATAGTATGAGAAAGTAAGGGGGAGAGAGAATTTAAGTATAACACCAACATAGCTGGCCCATAAGCTGGGGAAGATAAGGGAGTTGACAGATCTTTGAAATTGTGGTAGGACATCCATTTGGAAAGATGAGAGTGGCTGGAGACGTGAGATTGCACAGTGAGGGAAGGCAGGTGATAGGAAGGTACATTTGGGAGTCAACAACTTAGAGATGATACCATAGTTAAATTTATAGGAATGGATAATTACACTCCGGAGAATATAGAGGAAACTGATATGTGACTAAATCTGGAATTGGGGATTTGGGGATATTGACCACCTGGAAGTCCTGACTCAGCCTGGCCTTCTAGCTGCCAAACATACATTTTCCTGCCCAGATCAGCAACTTCTGTTGGCCTCCTAGGAACCTGAGGTCACAAGTGACTTCTGTGAGTTAGCTGATTTTCTCAAAGTTAAAATGTAAAACACCTAGTTACTGAGACAGTTACCAGTAATCTCCTATTTAAAACATTTCCTGTAATTCGTGATTTGTTTGTAAGAAATACCCTATTAAACTATAGGTTACGAACAAGATACAGTTCTCAAAAAAGAAGGTGATTCTGTTTCCAGATAGCCCTGCTGACTACAGCAGATCTATAGAAAGTTGCGTGGTCATCACGGGGTAAGAAGGGAAAGAAAACAGGGTTTAACTACATATTTTGCAGTAATTGAGGGCTTTTCTCCAGACTCCCCAGTATTGATTGGATAATAAACAATTATCTTTGTTAGATTCAACCATTGTGGAGTATATTAAATGAAATGAATTCCTGAGCTGTAAAAATTAATGTATTTTAATTCTCATTCACTGCTTGACAATGCATCCTGTTTATGTCCTCCAGATACATTTAATTTTTCTCATTGGGATAAGAAGAGTGAATGTTTGGGCTGATGTTTGGACTTCTCCCAGATCTCTTAGCAATTGTTGGCACTGATTTTAGGACTCTGTACCCTAACCCTAGAAAGTAGCTCTTTGCTTTGGATGATCAACAAAGCTAAACCAGAGTTCCTTATTTCATTATCTTTCCAAAACCTCTTGTTCCTCAGCACATACAACATGAACGGTACATTTGCAGTTAGCCACCTAAATATACAGTGTCTAAATGGTACAAGTCCCATAACATACAGTTTGTCTGTGGACTGAGGAGTAGATTCTTTGGTGTGGTGCACCTGCTTTGTGCTGAATATGGAATGTGGCCACGTAGTCAGGGCAGTAGGCCACCCAAGGATCAGCTTCATCCTCTTTCTTCTGCCAGACAGGGATCTTGCCCAAATATTCTAGACTCCATTTGATTCAGGAAGATGGTACCAGTCTGTTGGCTCTTCTGTCTGTTTGAAAGTGAATTTGTTTCTGAGGACAGATGCCAGGGTTAGAGCTGTTATTGATTCCCTGTACTCTTGAGTCAGCAGGCTTTCTCTTTCAAATCTGAACAGTTTGTAACTGACCTTTTTTTTTCTTTTGAGTGTAGGACAAAAGTGGAAAGGAAGCTGCTGCCACAATGAAACCGGCAACAAAGGACAGTGGAAAACCTGAAGATCCTAAAATGGTAGATACATTCCTAATATGTATTGAGCTGGATTGTTGAACAAATTTGAGTGTGGGGATGGGCAACTTAGGTCTGAAATAATTTTATTTGGACATTACAGTTTGAGGAAAGTGTTCTTAAATAATTGGTTCCGTTTGACCCACTCCTGTGTGCATGCAAAGAATTGCCGCTTCAAAAGAGAGTAAATCCAATGTAACATGCTGGGCAGATGTGGGGTGTGTATAGTCATGTGTTCCTCATGACATTCAAAATCCTCATTCTCCCCATCAGAGCTTGTTGCCCTAGTCACCCCACTCCCTTGTATCTATTTCTACTTGTGATTGCATCTCTTCTTTCATCTCCGTCTGGAGCACGCTTCCTCCTCTCCTGCATTTCAGTAAAAACTTATTCTTCTATGTGAAGTCCATTCTCTTCTCCCCTTTTGTTATATATGTTATGTAATAATGAAATACAATAATCTGCACCTGTGTATAAATATATATACAGAATAATTTGGTGGAGGGTGTGTTAACTTTTTTTATGTAGTGCATGTCTGTAGATGGATATATATACTTAATATGTGCCACACAGCAAAATGGACCCAAAATGTTGGTTTTTGTGAGCAACCCATAAAAATCAGAATCTGGAATTAGACATTAAAATGCCTAGTTAAATCAATCCATCGATTTATTGCTTTGAACTAGACTTACAACATCATCTATATCATGTTTTTAGTGACTGTAATGAATGGCATTTTTTAAAATCATAACATTTGCTTTTGAAGACTTTTGTTTAACATTTGAGCTTATTTTCAAATTTTAATTTGAAAGCTTTGAATCAGGAGTGTTTTATACTACCAGTTAAGAGGACATTTTCTAATGTTAAAAGTTGTCTGGCTGCCAAGAGCTACTGACTGTCGCTGTGGCTCAGTAGCTGTCCAGATAATAGTGAGGGAGATAAGTCACTGATGCAAATTTAACAAATGGGATAGGGGAAAATAAGGAGAAATGGGCACACATGAAGGTACAAGTACATTTTGCTGAATGGCTGCCTTCTCCCCCGGCCTCCCCTTTTACTGCTGTGGAGCATGTCTCACAGATACAGATCGTTTAGGTGCTGTCATTATCCCTGCTCATGTGTAATTGTTATAGTATTTTTATTTCTAATCTGAAACAATAGCTTACAGCTCACCCATGCTTTGTTTTCCTTTTCCCTTTTAGGCAAAGGAACAGTCCTCCAGTGCAAAATCTGAGAAACAGAAAACAAGTTAGTTTAATATTAGTGGGTAAGAGTTCTTTTTAACCCATCCTTTTGGTTACCAGAAAGACTATCTTCATTATTGAATCCTAGTTAAACTAATAAAATAAGACAATTTGACAACTCCAGCTGGAACCAAGGCATATTTCCCTTTTAGACCAAATGTGCAGGACTTCACCGTAGAGAATCCTAGACAGAAAAGTCCTGCTAACTACTCCAGGGCATGCTTCTCTTGTTCCCCACCAGACCAGAACAGTATAATTTCTTGCAGTTAATTTTGAAGAGTTTTTCAATAGTTTAATTTTAAATCTTTCAAGTGATTCCACTGCTTCCTTTGTGAGACTTTCACAAATTGATGAGGCTCACTGTCAAAGTTATTCCTAATAGTCTTATCTAAACAGGCTTTCTACTTTGCGTGCTGGACCTTTGGAGTATTTAACTGTGGGCAAGCATGTGCTTCCTGTGGCCAGAGCTGGAGAATTTTAAAATCAGTGTCTGTTTGTCTACATGTGCACTTGGGATGTTAAATTTAGCTTAATTAACTAATCAAATAGTTGATGGAATTTCCAGTGACTATTCCATTATTCTATAGGGTGCCTCCACCTTTGAACTGTAGCAAGAGCCCTCTAGGTTCACAAGCGGAAGTCACTGTACAACGAGAGGCCAGCACTGGCCCAGCACTCCCTGCAGCGCCTTAGCCTTTGAAATGTACAAGAGCCCCAGTGCCCGCTTGTGCTATTTCCTGCTGTGCCTCTATCTCTCCTGCCTCCTGCGGAGATGGTGCTGGGCAAAACCAGCTTTTAAGTCGGCTTCCCCAGCACCGGCTCCTGCTCCCTCCTCCTTGTTGCCTCCCTCTGATAGAGGCAGCAAGGGTTGGGGGGAAGCGACTAGTCGCATCACTAGTCGGCTACCTGATAAGCTTATGCTTATCAGATAGTTGACTAGTCACATACATCCCTAACGTGCACTCTTGCTCGCCTCATGTCTCTGGCTGAGAAGATAAAGGGAGTGAGGGGTAAGAGGGGAAGACTGACTGACTCTTCAGTTCCTTCTCAGCACTGCATGGAAGCTCCAACCTGGACCGGGTCCAAAGCTTCTGTTTTCTCCTTTTTCTGTGACCATATCTATGTCTGTCTATAGGTAAATAGTTTGGGAGGTGTTTAGAATTTATAGTTTTAGCTGAAGGTGTGAGAGTCTCCCTCCCTCCCCCCACACCCTGGTCCTCATTTGGGGTAACGTACTATGCCTAGGACACAGGGCTTCAAAAATCTCTGTTGCTTGTTCAGCAACAGCCACCAGTTAGAAGCCCACATAGTGCCAGTGTCCACTATTTCCTGTTATTTCTGGGTACAGCTGGGGAACTGGCAGGAACTTCACTTTAGGAAGCATTGAATGGAAAAGGCCATGTGACTCCAATCAGAACCAAGCCAGGGAACCTTCTCACCATACCCTGTCCATTGGCCTGACTCAGCAAGGAGTCTGCCTCATGCCAGGAGATCCAACTCAAGACTGAGGCTGTCAGCCCCCACATATGCCTCATTTGGGTCTTGTCAGGAGAGCAGAGAGCAGGCCTGAAACTAAATCCTCCTCCCAATCCTTGGAAGAAATCAGCCCTGCCTAAGCTGCACAAGTCTGTGAGGTGACCCCAAGAGAACTTTGTATGTTCCAAGTCTTAGAGCATGACAAGAATTCCCCCTCTTCCATCCAAACATTATGCTTTTGACTCCTCCGCTAATGTGTCCTTTGGAATGGCAGTCCTTTATACACCTTGGCCATCTGCATCTTTGTACCCTTCTCCTATTTGAGTACAGGTTCTCCATCATCCACAATGGGGTACACATAGGGACCAGCACTCACTGAAGAAGGGAGAAATACGTATAGTAACCGGAGGTGCTTTGATACGTGTGTTTCCTATCTGTATTCCATTACCTGTCGTCCTTGCGCTTTGCTTCAGATCACCTTTTTGTTCACAGTGGAAAAGGAATTGGAGACCAATGTTCCCTCTAATTTTTCAATGTGTATGTGGAATGAATTTTGTAATGTGCACCGATATGTAGATAATGTGTGATGCATCATCACCTCTATATTGCTGCACATTACAAAATTCATGTCATGGGAGTGGGGTTCAGGGTGTGGGGGGAGGCTCAAGGCTGAGGCAGAGGATCAGGGTGGAAGTGAGGACTCTGACAGGGGATGCAGGTTCTGGGGTGGGGCTGGAGATGAGGTTCAGGCTACCCCAAAGCTGCAGTGGGGGAGAGGCCGTCTCTCTCTCCCCCCCCCCACCACACTGTCTCTCACCACAGCAGCATCTGATCTGGGGGAGGTAAGGGGGCCTTTCCCCATCTGTGGCAGCTCTGGGAATGTGGGAGGGTTGCCTTTCCCCACTGTAGCCCTGAGCACTTGGGCAGCCCTTGATAGACTGCTGCATGGCTACACAATTTAGAGGGAACTTAGCTGGAGAGACAATCGGTCTGCTTTCAAAGACACTCCAGTTACTGTAGGATAAGTAACCTTTTCTAATGTCTTTATTACTAGATATCCCTCTTGTATGATGATACTTGATCTTGTTATTTATACCCTTAAAATATGTATAGATAATTGTATTAACTCTGTCATCAGCTAGTTATAGATAAGGTTCTACCAAACTCACAATCCATTTTGGTCAAACCCCCATAGCCCGATGGTTTTTAAATGAGTGTATTTCATGTTTTTACATTGGAAATTTCATGGCAGTGTAACCGTGGGGAAGGAGGGGAGTGTTGACCTGAATGGAAGACGAGGGGGATTGCCAAGCTATTGTTGTGGGATTGCCACACTTCAGTGACGTGGCACTGCAGAAGTGAAAGATTCCTGCAGCTGGGGAGGTACACGGAGCTGGGTCTGATCTCTCCTCCTCCCTCATCCCCCCCCTTCCAGGATTAGCTGCGTAGAGGAAGGGAAGTCCCATCCTCATCAAACAAGCTGGAATGGACTAATGGCTGGAGCCAGGTGCACAGTAGGAACCCGGGACTGGGGTGGCTGTAGCCTGCCACTGCACTCCAGTAGTTAGATATCACTTGGGAGGTCTGGTTTCATGGTCCTTGATGTCTTTTTTCCAGGACGTGAATTTGCACAGGCCATAGTTATATGGTGTATACTTAGACCTCTAATCTTTCCTCAGAATACTGTTCCTAAAGCCTTTACTCTTGTTTGTAGCTTTCCTCTGAAACCTTCTAAAATGTTGACTTGTGTCATTTCCTGAGAACTAAACACAATTTTCTACATGTAAACACACAAGGTGAAATCCAATGAGAGAGAGAGTTTGGCCATTATCTTTGATGGAGCCAGGTTTTAACACACAGAAGTGATAAATACGCTATATGTGCAGCTCAATCTCCACTGTCTTTTTTTGCATTATTACACTGCAAATAATATATTACTACTTCCTGGAATTCTTTATCTGAGGAGAATAATACAGAACACAGAAAAAGTAGCTGATGTTTGTTCAAGTTGAATTTCCTTTTACATGTTGTCAAGTATCAGAGGGGTAGCCGTGTTAGTCTGAATCTGCAAAAGCATGCATCTGACGAAGTGGGTCTTTGCCCACGAAAGCTTATGCTCCTACACTTCAGTTAGTCTATAAGGTGCCACAGGACTCCTCGTCGCTTTTACATGTTATATGTTTCACTCAGTTTCTTATCTGAAACTTTCTTTTTCTTTCAGGTGTTGGGCACTTAGTGTAAAAAGTCTTCATTCTGCTGGTGGACAGTTACTCCCAAAGAACAAAAACTAATACAAGAGCATGAGATTATTCGGGTGGTTTTTGTACAGTGGTATTTGCTGCAGTTTTTTCATATCATTTTTTCAGGAATGGAGTTAGGGTTTTTTTTTTCTAACCATTTACGTTATTGTATTGATACTTTTGAAACTTTTTTTGTAATTTCTTCATTTCTGAGAGGGAGAAGATGCTTTATATTTGTAAGAAGTCTATTTCATAAAAACTTAATAGCAATTCCAGAAACAGCCTGCAAACCTTTGCACATAATCTCCACATAGTGCCTGTAAATCTCAGTAGAGTTCTCTAGATATACACTAGCATTTTTAACATTGCAACGAATGCATTAAGCAATTCTAGGAATGGTAAAGAGTTTTGGTTATCCTTGGCAGTTCTAGGCTGGGGGTATAATGCATTTTCTTGGGTGAATTTATTGGTAAGAAATCCTAGGACAATCAGATATATAGTGGCTGGCAAATTAAAAAAATGTATCATCTCACCTCAAACTCCTAAAAATAAAATGTCTAAAATCTGGATAGTGCCTTTGTTGCAGAGTGAAGGAAAGCCTCTGCTCTCTCAAATCCTGTCACTACAATGATACTCTGATATTCTTTCTGCCAGGAGTTTCTTGACTACAGATGCTAATGCGAATCACCTAAATTCCTGGCCATAAAATACTGCAAGAGGGGGAAACGGGGCCCATGAAACTTAGCAAGAATCAAATGAATGGAGCGCCAAATCTACAGAAAAGGTGGTACTTCTGCAATAATACCTAGTCACAATAGAGGACAGACTTTGACTCACAGGGCAGGTCCACACTAAAGGGGAAGATCAAATTAAGAGATGTAACTCCAGCTATGTTAATTATGTAGCTGGAGTAAACGTTTCTTAAATCACCGTCCACACAGTGGGAGGTCAGCAGGAGCAAACGCTCCCGTGGGCTTCCCTTATGCCTCGTGAGGAACAGGAGTACCAGCACCGACAGGGGCACCCTCTCAGTTCAAATTAGTGGGTCTTCACTAGACACACTAAATCTAACATCAGAAGATTGACTGCAGCAGCATCAATCTTCTGCACAGTGTAGACATGGCCAAAAAGTGGGTACAGGAGCAGAGCAGAAGTTGATGCTACAAGGAATGGCATTAACTTCCATGAACTATATTTTCAGAGTCCCCATGGAAAGAAGTTGCAGAGCAGCCATTCCCTGACAACCACATTGCAACATTGAATATAAAAGGATATTCTGTTAGCTGCTGTGTAATGTGCTACTTTCTCCAATTTCTGTGGGCTTTCCCCTTATTTGTGTCTCACAGCAAAAGGAAGCATAGTGCTGTAAGTGCAAGATTTTAGTGTCCTTACTCACAATGAGTAACACTATAAATAAGTTCATTGACTTCAAGGAACTACACAGAATGTGGTAATAGTAGATGAAATGTTAGGAAGGGCCTTAAAATCTGGGTCTGTCTTATCAAGTTATTCCAGCCAACCATTTTCCGAAGACTTAATATGGAGGATAATTAGAAGTCTGTCAACCTGACAGTCTGCATTGAAAGCCTGTCACACTAATAAAGATTTTAGAATGTATGTCCTGTTGTTTTTATCTTCTTGTTTCCAATTATATACTATTGACTAACTCACTAAAGACAACTGAAGTGTGTCCACCAAAGAGCATTAAAAAAGTAGGCTTTGGGATATGAAAAGTGCTTTATGCAAAATCTGTAAAATGTTTGTCATCAGGTCTTTGTGAAACCAAATGTAAAACTATAAACATACAATAAGAAAACTAGTTACAATTCTTATTTTCATTTTGCTTTTATATCATCACAGAGCAATCTCAGAGCCAGCTTTTAAGTTGCCAAACGCCATTTTTTTAAGTTGAAATTACCTAAACTATGAGCACAAATATTTGTGTGCACAAACTTGCACTCATGAAAATGAGAACCCAGTTGAGATTGTGCTTAAAATCTAATCATTAACATAAGAACCCTGATGTTCTTGGGAGACTGAAGATGCGTTTTCTTTTTCTTCTTAAGTTCTTATATACTACACATCATTCTGGTGTGTGTGTATAAATATTTCTTTGAGAGGGAGTTTACAAAGATTTCATGAATGCATTGTTGTTGGTTTAATTTGTGAGCTTTGTTTCCTGAAGGCAAGTAGCAATGTATTGTCTTGTAGGCAGCTGATAGATTCTTGATTTTTATCTTGAATAATCAGAGATGAGGGCAAATCTAGCAGATAAATAGCACAGCATCTACACAGATATGTAAGTGTGGATTTAATTTCTTCTGGGCTATTGGAGTGTTTTGACTGCACTGTTTAGAGTTTTTAAGATCAACTTTAATTTGTGCTGGTCACAGTCTCAGAATATGCAGTTTTTTAATTTAATAGTTGACAAATACTAAAGTGTTAAAGAACTGGAATCCTTGTTAATTTCTCAAAAAGTATTAATTGCTCTGAGAACTAGTTCAGTTCTTAAATATTTTTCTACAGAATGCACCTCCCAAAACCAGGGCTCTCCCATGTGGCCAATGGCTCAAAAATTTTCCCTGTAAAAGTTCAGATCAGAAATCACAGGATTGTGCTTCAGGTTTTTCTTTGATAGCTGAAATAGGCTGCCCTGCCAAATGTTTTGAACACAGCATGTGTCTGAAGATTTCTCATTGTTGAGCCCACAATAAACCACCTTTGAAGTTAACATTCTGTTTCCTATGATTTTACATAAAGCAGTTTCTGGTCAAACAGAGATAAGATGCAGACAATATAGGTAGTATTTGTTAGATTAATGCACTATGTACACATCTTCGATCTTAAGGTTGTAGTTACAGGATATAAACAGACAAATATACAAACAGCTGTCGTCCTTGATTTCTTATCAAAACGAATGGCCTTTCCTATTAACCCTTCTTAGCATTTATTTGATGCCCAGTGCCCCCCACAAGTGAATTACCCTAAGTACAATTGCGATGCCTTTAAGGATTACACACATTGGTTATTTGGCCTGCCGGTTTTAAAATGCACTGGTTTGCTAATATCACCATTTTTGTGTACCTTACCCGAACTCACTTTAATTTATTAAAAATCCTTTTTGAATAAGGATGGCTAGCTAAGTTGTGAATGCAGCTCTCAGACGTTTCGTAATTTTCATATAAAAATAATCCTATTTCATGTTTGAGGTCTAAAGGATTGTAGGATTTTTAATACAAGATGCTATATCTGCTCTCGTGATAGAACAGATGAACAATTTAAAAAGGAGATATTAAAAATTGCACTTATTGTAGTGGAATTTTTCTTAATCATATTTGTACTGATGATGTACTGTTTCCTATCCACAATGCTACTTTGCTCCTATTTTTAAACTATATCAATATCTTTCAACTATAGTTAAAATCTCATTTTTTACAGTAGAATTTGATGAAGGAAAGGGTTAGATTCCACAAACTAGATGTTAAAATATCTTCTCGGAACTGACTGTAAAGGGGAAATACAGATAAAGGTGTAGGTTAGGTATGGAGAACCTTTTTTGGACCAAGGGTCGCTGACCCACAGAAAGATCAGTCTGGGGCCGTACAGAAGTGAGAAGCAAAAAAACCCCAAACCCTCACTGATGTGGCCCCCAACTGCGAAGGAAAAACACTCCCTACATTCCCCTTGTGCACCAGAGCTCAGGGGGGACCAGGATAGTAGATTTTGTGTGTTCCAGCTTGTTTAGCTTTTAGATCCAGTTTAAAGGTAGAGTATAATTAACACTTTTCTCTTCCACTTGGCTGCAAACTAACGTACTCCAAATCATTTTCATATTTCTTTCAAAAATCCGCAATTTACTATGGCTGTGCCTGATGACCAGTTTTTGTTGCTGTATAATGAAGTGAAGACAACTCATCTGCCTTTGGATTGAAAATACACAATTAAGGCTTGATGTTTATTTATGTATGTAGGAGAAACTCACTTGACAGAACAATTTTATTCTGGCAGCATCACCTGCTAGAACAAAAACAAACAAAAGCAAAACCAAAAAGTGCTTATTAACCTTCTATAGGTGTTATTTGAAATGTATTGCTTATGCCTATTCTATATTAGGTGTGTGCAAACTACATGCACTGTTGCATGAGATTCTTCCCTTAGCAGAGTGATGGGCAACTGTAGCCCAAGAACCACATGAACCCACTGGGGTTGTGTGTGTAGCCCATGAGACGTGTTTGCTATTGTCCAGGCATAGGGTTACCAGATTTGGCTGGTTTTCATCCATATAGGTTTTTTGCTATTGGTCTTCAAGTGACATGCACTTTAAGCAAAGGCATATGAAGTGAGGTGGGTGCTGATTTCACACAACATTGACTGTGAGCCACGTGCTCCCTTTGAATCCAATCAAAGTGCTACTCCAGTTCATTTGGCACACCATGCAAATTCTAGGCACTCAAGTGCATTTAGCAAAATTACCCTAGCCCAGGAGACTCTCTTAGCTTTCATAACTTTGCTGCCCACTGAGATGGAGGGCCACTCATATGGCCCGGCCCCCTCACTGCCCTAGTGGTATTCATTAGGCAGGCCCTAGTACCCTCTGGAGGTCTAATGGTGTCTTTCATGAGGATAGCCTTCAGTCTGATGTCTGTCTTTTTTGGTGCAGTCTGAAGTCCACGTATCTGGCTGGCTCCTGTCCTTCATGTGTTTTGTCCAGCTGCTTTAAGGAGCTGGAGTATGAATCACTCACAGGCACAGGAGGTGCAAAGCTTGTGGCCTACGGATGCCTTGCCTGGGAGCAAACAAGTCCCTCTGTGATAGGGACTATTCAGACTATATACACTAAAACTACTTGAGATTAATATATAATGTAATAAGAGAAGAGCCAAGAGTGAAAGTTGAGCAATTAAGAGGGAAAAGAATTTTTAGAAACCATATTCAAAAGACTTTTGTTTACTTAACTATAAATAATATTTATCTGATATGTCACTATTTAGTCACAAAACATTCAGACAATACAAATTTTTGCATATGGCTGAACATTACTTTTTTCAAGAGGCAGAAATTTATTTTCTTTGTTTTATGTCTAGAACTTCACCCCAGATTCAATCCTGGCAATGTGTATTATTTTAAGTGATATTCTTAAACAGACCTTCACTACTTGATTCCTGTGGTTAAAGACATCCTTTGACTGTCCAGGTGAAAAATTCTCCTGATACGTCTCAGTTATAAGCCATGGTGAATTACCATTTGCACATGCACTGATTTTATTTAACACATCAACAGCAAGCAACCTTTCCTTCAGTGTTCCAAAACACTTTCACCTGAAGAGTACAAGATCCTTTATGAACATTAAGTAAATAAGCATCACCACTTTGGTAAGATATCTGAGCAGAAATATCCCAGTTTTATAGATGGGACACTAACACCCTGACAAAGGATTGCCAGAAACCTAGATATCACACTTCTGTCTGAAGTTTCTGATACTAAATTTACTACAACTGACAAATCTTAGGGTACGTCTAGACTACCTGCCTCTGTCGCCAGAGGCATGTAGATTAGGCTACCAGACATAGGAAAATGAAGCGGCGACAAATGCCGTTGATGTCGACACCCGCGCGTCCAGACTATCGTGCTGAGCCGACAAACAGCTGATCAGCTGTTTGTCGGCTCAGCACGATAGTCTGGACGCGCGGGTGTCGACATCAACGGCATTTGTCGACCACCCAGGTATGCCTCATCCCAGGAAGTAGGAATAAGAGATCCTCCGGAAAAGGGCTTTATTCCGGAGGATCGCGCCAGTCTAGACGCTTTTTTCCGGCTTTTCCCCAAGCCGGAAAAAAAGCGGCGGCCATGTTTATTTAAATCCCGTGGGGGATATTTAAATCCCCCGCAGATTTCCCTATTCTGAAGTTGGAAATTAACATGCCTCTTCCGGAGAAGGGGCCAATGTAGACGTAGGCCTTCTGAAAGAGCCAAACACTCAACTTTGCTGTCCTTGTGTGCCTTACCATCCCTCCTTTTTGTCTTAGGTTTGTAATTGGAGAAAAGGCCTATTATAAAAATGAGTCATATTTAGTCATCACTTTTAAAAAATAAATGTTATTTTCAGAGAATTAACTATTTTAAAATGCACTTTCATTACGGTAAAGAGCTAGTTCAGAGCAAATAAAATCCCCCAGGCCTATACAAAAGTTACCGCTTATGCCGATATAAAATATTAAATATCACTGATCAAGTTAAACATTCAAATTCAAATCACATATCCTTTTATTCTAATGTAATTCTAAGTATAAGATTTAATATAAAGCAAGTTAAATAAAGCACAATAAAGAAAATGTTCTCATGAAGCAATATCCATAATTATAAAAAGAGGAGCTATGGAAAAATAAGTTACTCAATTGCATTCTTCATACCTCTTACTTTTGCAGTGTACTAATCTTAATTTAAATTGCAATATATACACTAATACTGTACACCGTGGTATGGGATACACTTAAACTCCTCATGGTGTTTTATATAAATGATTTTGATGGTCTGATAACATATTAAAAAGTAGGTGCTAAGAAATTCTCTCCCCTTCATAATTTCAATACATCTCCATGTTAAAGGAGTGTGCCTATAAATATTTCAGTGCTGGGCTACCCTGAGCAGAAATTATTAGTCATACCTAATTTTTGGTAAAGGGATACAAACTTTTGTGCTCTCATCTGTGGAGAGTTCTATTTATAGATCAGTTGCACGTTCACCCATTTTCTGTCATTTCACAATTCATTTTTTCCTCAAAATAGAACTGCAAATCCAAATTTTTAGAATTCAAATCCCCTTACGCCCTCCCCACCCCACCCCCCCGGTTTACACAGGCCAGGTTGGGCAATTTTTATTGCTCTAAAATTGTGGATGAGGGTTTATTAGTCGATTGAAGGTGTGTACATACAGCTCTATCTTGCTTCTATTGTAATCAATAGCTAATCTCATATAAAGGAACAGAATGGGGTTCATCATGTCATCACCTGTGAGTAAATTTTATCACACAAAACAACAACAAAAGCTATGGATTCTTTGGAATTATCACTTTGTATTGTAATTCACATTCAATATTCAAAGCCAAATGCAATAGTAAATTCTTCACAGGTTATTCTGTAACCATATTTTGATTTTTTCCAAATTTATGTCCATCCATCGTATATTTTCTTCAATGGTTTCTATAGCTTGTTGGATACAGCGGAGCTGTGAACTTTTTTCTTCCAGAGAACTGAAAAATCCCTTCACCTATCAAATAAAAATTTGAAATAAGTGCTTGATAAGTTACATTAAGAGGCAGTGTAACAAATGAATAAGTTAAGTGGCAAAAACTCCTGGTTTCCAGTGTGACTTACAGTGGTTAAGAGACTGTGACTATTTACATGAGAGCAGTTTCCTAAAAAAAACCCTTCAGGCTATTGGTAAAATCAACGCCTCAGTCACACTGAGGCCTTCACAAGGCAGCCAAGACAATGGGAGACATTTTAAAAATCTTTTCATTTAAATCAGTTTCCAG